CCCTCCGAAATGGTTCGTCATTTCTCTTGGCCTTAAGTCGCGCCTTTTGGCCATTATTGTTAGCAGAGTGGTGTGGAAAGGACTGAAAACAAGTTGCAGAATCAGGGTCACAAATGGGTGTTTGACAACTTTTTCAACAAGAAGAAAAAGGGGTTTTAAGATAAAAGGTCACTTTATTGGAGACTAATGTTGCAATGCTAAATAAAACCAATTTAAGTTCATTTATTACAAATAATTTATATACAAATTTTGGATAAAACAAATTTGAATTAATTTTTTTTAAATAATGTTGATACCAATTTTAATAAATATTTTAGTTTTTGGTAAAAAGAGGGCACCTTATTTTATTATGTCCTGACTTAATATACGCTTTACAGCCTCATGCCTAAATATGCATAAATCCCGCCAAAAATAAGCCCCCCTTCCATTTATCACATCGCCTGTACTTAATAATCAGACATAATTTATAAGCGGAATTACCCCGAAATAGAATTACATTTAAAGTGCGTTGCCCTAGGTGGAATATTAGAATAAGCTGATGGCTCAAGTGCTCAGACCTCACTTAACCCGGCGACTTGTGGACTCGGCATAAGGTCACTGTCCATGCCTCCGACTTGAGTAAGCAGAATTTCCAGCCAGATTTGCATGGACTTAACCGGTATTGAACTCTGTCGACCCGGCCCAAAAAGAACGGCCTCTTCCTGACGGCAGCAAATATTTGCATTCGAGCTGTCCACACACTCACTTGGGAATCCTTTTTACGGGGTAGAGGCTGTTCCACACACTTTCGGAAGGAATGGTGCTCTTTTTTCGGCATGCTCTTGTAATGTAAATCTATTTTAATATATGCAGCAATTAAAAATACATCAGCTTACTTTCGAGCGCCTTTGGCAGCGCCCACATCCTGGGGATGGTCCTGTCATTTAATGTGCCATTTTGGGCTCATTAAATTTCATTGCGTTAAATGTTCCCATGTCATGCATACAGTGAGTAATTTTTTGTAATATTTAAAGCACTTTTCGTCTCTCGGCATAATTTAAACATCAACTAAAAGTAATGAGGTGTCGAGAGGCCTCGGTTCGGAGATGATAGCATTCCATTAAACGGTGATGTCAGTGCGACACCTTCATTTACATAAAGACCAACACGTGTCGGCGACTGTCATTGAACTGTCATCCGATCCCATTTGGAGTCCTTGTCCCTCCCCCTCCCCCCTCCCATCTCGGGCACTTCCTGTTTTGCCTAATTACTGTTGTGCCTGTGAAAAATTCATTAAATGCCCCGACACCCTAATCAGCCGCTTGACTCCATGGTTGCCATATCTGTTGGCTAAATTTAGTCGGCATCGCAATTCATTAAAAAGAACATCCTACTCGTCGAGTTGTTGAGTCGAGGTCCTTGGAATCCGTGTAGTTGTCTGACTGTGGGGCCCGTGGCATCCTCTTCACCAACTTGACATTTGTACTGGAGCCACACAGTTTGTTTTCTGTCGCCATCTAATTGCGGCCAACTTAAAATCCTCTCGAGGCATGAGAAGCCGTAAAGGACAATTGCATGTGGCTGCCGTTACAGGATATGAGCAATCCAAGTATTAAACACTCAGGTATTGACACGATGTCGAACAGCAAAGGGCAATTAGCTGACCAAATAAAATAATGAATGTATAGAATTTAATATGACGGACTTAAATTATTGATTTTTAATGACATAATATGTTGCGTTGACTTTTGCTCTTAATAGCTATTATATTAATAAATTAAAATGTTTTCATAATAAATGGCAGTCACTTAAATTTCTGAATAATGAAATACACTATCAAGTCGAAGGAAAAAACAAATGCTTAATTTTTTTCCTATTTAAGATTTTTTTCAAATTTCTTTTCTGGGCACATTTCTCTTATTGATTTTTGTATCGCTTTGTTTTGTTAAAATGTTATGTTATTAGTTTCTTTTTTAAGTCATTTTATTACTAAACTAAAATGTATTCATAATTAATGGCTGTCACTTAAATTTCCAATTAATGGAAAGCATCATTAAATCTTCTTTACTATTTTAAAAAAGGGAAAAAATTTGTTAATTTTTAATTATTCGGTATAGCTTTAAAAAGCTTAATTTGGGTTTTTTTACAGATATTTCATAAATTAGATATCGGTAATGATATTAAAAATTGTTCTTATACATTTTGTGGACTTGCAGTTCCTTTACTCTTATTGATTTTTTTATTGCTTTGTTTTGCTAAACATTTTATTGTCATTCTTTATTTATTTCGCCAAAAGAACTTTTCGAAACTAGGCGAAAAAAACACCAAAAAAAACTAAACCCATCTCATCACCGACAAGAACAATAGCAAAGCAATAAAAGAAAACTTTTGTTTTTGGGGGACACAGTTTGGGAACATCTAGGAAAGACAACAAGCGCAAAAGTACAATCATTAAAATTAATTACACAAACATTAATGTGCCGCAGGCAATTAGGGTTCCCAACCGACAGAGGTGAACCTCGACCCGGGACCCGAGATTCTACAATTTCCGCATGCTCCTGCCAAGGACTCCGATTGCAGACCACAACCAAGTAATTCCTTTACGCACCCCAAACACACACGGAAAAAGCTAAAATAATTTTACATTTTAAACTGTGTATAATTATTTATTTTACGTAATAATACTATTATAACCTCATACCACTGATGAGGTTATAACCACTGTCTTCTGCAGATTTGGAAAGGAAAGCTATGTATTATTAAATTAAAGCAAAGATTCAACTATTTCTGCTGAGACTAGAATTCTATTAGCAGATTAGATACAAATTTAAAATATTCTTAAAATTACCTCAGTGTGATGGTTGCTTTTGTTTTTCTCTGTGCACCTACGCACACAATGATGCCCGCAGAACGCCCACAAGACACACACAATCACAGTCGACAATAATGAATACTTAATAAAGCGGCATTCAAGGTGGTCGGACTCTCGGTCGACGACAAACAAAGGCGGCCAGCAGGCCAAAGACCATGGCTAAGGCTGCGGGCAAAGTTTACCTTTGTAAGGACCTGCGTGTCCACCTCCAGCCCTTCTTCTCCTCCGGTCCCGTTCTGCTCCTTTTTCGCTGTTTTTGTTATTTTTCTCCTTGTTAGGCGGCAAATTTTATTTCAATTATCAACACCCAAGCGGGCGGTATTAAGGATTCAAGTTGATTTAATTTGTCAGCAGCAAACCTGTCGTTAAAGGCACAAAACCAGATGGGTCAGGTTTTTTGTTCGCTTTCGATTCCAACTAAACAATTAGAGCGCCATCTGCAAGCTTTATGTACAAAAGGGAATATTTTAATCGATGCAAGCTCCGCAAATTGAATTGATTAAAATCATATCATTATTTTTAACACACAACATTACCTTGCTTACTTAAATGGATTAAAAGCAAACAAACTAGGAAGAAAACATACTGATTTCCATGTCCTTAAAGGCATTTTGAGATAGTGTCATAATTTTAAACAAACAAGATTATAAAAATGGAATAAAGGTGTTTGGAATCATAATAGGCAGTCCCACGCCAACTGCAAAATTTGACTCTCAAATTAAGTTTTAATCCAGCACGTTCGGCTCCTACGATTTTCCCTAACCAGATTTCCATGGAATCACAAACTGCAAATTGATAGCCTTATACAATAAATCGATTCACCCACTATGTACGTCGACAACCGCACTTTGTGCATAATTTTTGTGGAAAATTTTCCAGAATTCGAACTGTAATTTTAATTAAAATGTACAAATATAAAAGCTGTTTCTGCAGCGGAAATCAAAAAGGCAAATTACAAAAATTCATTGTAAATAATAGCATATATATTAGATTTCGGAAAAAAAGAGGGGAATAGTGTCTATTCAGTTAGGAATTATCCTTTAATTGGATTCAAAATCGATTTGTTCGTTTTTAAATTAACTAACTCCCTGTGTTCCGAATAACAATTGGAGCACATCCTAATCGAAGTGATTAATTTAACAGTGCTTCTGTCACACGTAATAATTGAATTGATTAAATAATAAAGCAACGATTAAAGTTGACAGACATGCAAGCCACAACACGTCACCACTGCGTATACGTAATGCATGCTATTGAGGAGATGAAAACGAGAAAAATAAGGGGACGTTAACTGTTGTGCAACAAGTGGTTAATGCTAATTAGGACTTCCTGTGGTGGGGATATAGCAAGGACATGCAGATGATGACAACAATAAGGATGCCGATGCCGATGTCGATGTCGATGTCAACAAGGCTGGGCAAACAATAACGAAAGCAGGGGCTGGCTCAAATATGTTCTGCCGCCAGGACCAACTTGCAATCCGATGCTCCTTTAATTGGGCAGACGACTGGAGCCTGCTGATGATGATTATGGGCATCTGGGCGAACCAGTATTCTTATACAGTAAACAATAAACAATAATAACACATCTTTACTAAAATTTCCGTGTGAAAGTTTTTTAATAGACGAAATATTTTAAAATTAAAAGTAATATTTTTTGATAGCAACGTTATTTATAAAACTAATACATTAAATAAGCGCATATTTATTTACTTCTTTGAAAAAACATATTCATTATTGATTTGTATTACTTACTATACTATACTGATAAAATTTTCCATCATAATCGACATCCACTGTATGTATTTGCTATTTAATTGAAATACTGACTCTGAGCCTCAAATTTTTCCATTAAGCTCATTCAAAGGCGATTTGCGATTTGTAGAGGCAAGATGGCAAACAAATTGGCATAAGCTGCTTGCATGCGAAGAGGTATTACGACATCTTTCCGGGTTTGCTAAACGTGGGCGACATATACTCACTAAGTAGAACGACTTTCGTTCCAAAGAGAGTGGGAGGAATATTATTACAGCATTAAACTGACAATTTTAGAAATTCAAAGACCTCTAGTGTTACTTCTATGTGTGACAGTCAATCAATCTGTCCGACTTAAAACCAATTTTAACTCTTTTCTTCTTTGTGTTTTACAGATTTTCGAAACGCATTTCTAAGCATCTTCTTGGACGGACTTCTATTGAATTGTGCTAGTAATTCAAGCCAAAATAATGCAGGGAAATGTCAGCTGGATTTCGGAAGTCCTTTTGTAAGCCACCCTCAACATAGACGAGTAGAGAAATGCTGATAAATGGCAAATCAAGTGACAACGATGGGAAAAGTGGTGGCGAGGAATGTGGTTGTCTAGCAATTGGCTGAAACAGCTACACAAGTCATTGATATCAGATGTGTGTATATATTTTATGGGTGTGACTGGGTGGGTTAATGGAGTGTGTGGGGGGTGTGACTGGGCCTAAAGGCAGAACTGCCTCTTTATAATGCTATTTTTTCCACAATTTTCCGTTGCCATTCAAGTCGCGACAATTGCCGGGCCATTTCGCATATTTACAATGCCTCGAAGGGTGATTCCAACCGCTCTCCGAAGAACAGTTTGCCTTTGTCGCTTTCAATTTGTACCTAACAACTGTCAGACATTTGTCGTTTCGGTTTGGCTTTCGCCAGTCGTACGGAATTAAATTTCGAGCGACGGTTTTTGGCCCAATTGTGTGGAAATATGTCAACGAAAACTCGTTGTTTGCCCTGCAGAACAGAAGAAAAATAATTTGGTCGACTTCAAAAAAGCAAACATTTCCACGGCTTATGAAGCAACTATAGGCACAAAAAAAACAGCCCTGAGTAAGCTGACATTGATGAGATTTGCAGGGGCCAACTGAACCGGATCGGTGAAAATACGAGTATTGAGGCTAACTGACAGCTGGCAATGGACAAAAAAAAATAAAAAAAATCTGCCCTTCGGCATTCATCTGGAATTTAACTGGAATCGCATTTAACTCCCTTCCTGATAGCAATTTTTTTGGTATCCGCCGAATTTGTCGCAGAAAAACAATGGCTTGACAATATTCTAGACATATTTTTAGGCTACAAGGCTTATTTAAAAGAAACCTGTGGCTTATTCATATTTTAGTTTTCGACTAACAAATCGTCCTTCAACTTTTCCCCCAAGTTCTAGCAATATCTATGCTTTTATAGGTAAATGTAAGTGAGAGTGCATTTTGCGTGTTTGTTTGTGCATAATAAAATAACTAGCAGTCAACTAGCACACAAAAGTAAAACTATTTTATCACGAAATATTTCATAGCTAATAAAATGTGTCAGGTCTAAGACAGCCTACGAAGGCAATTTCTTATGTGTAAGCTGCTCGACAGGCTTGTAAAGTGTTTCCGAGCATAGGCATAAATATAAGATATACATCTAGGCATTAACCTATAAGATTGTCGGCTAAGCGCATCAAATGCTACAAATAAATTGAGTACGGAAATGGGAGGACAAAAGTGTAGAGCCAAAACCAAAATTACGCAAAATTGTGTTGACCATGAGCCCCGCTTTTGAAAGTTTAAGTCTTGCTTGAATTAGGTTTTTAAAAACAGGTCAATCGATTTCGTGTACTTTTGGTTTTTCTACTTTGATCGCAAGTTTCCACTGCGTATACGTAATTATAATTAATGTTATTCGGCGACGTAAACTCTATTAAGTTAGACAGCGAAGCCTGTATTAATTTCTGAGATGTATGGGAATACTCATTGAATGATCGATAAACTAAAGGTAATTCAAAATGGCATTAAAGTACGAAAGGGTCTCATCAAAGGCTAAAGAAATTTGTGTAAGGAATAATAAAATTTAAATAAATAAATATAGGCGAAATTTTATGAACTCTTAGCTACAATTAAATGTTGGCTGTTGTATCAATGTATTAGGAACGAATAAGATAAGTTATGGACTCTTGGAAAGGCATTTTTATAAATAAAGAAAAAGTTATTATATCTGTAGGTTAACAAAAATATAAAATTATTGTAAGCAAGATTATACCAAAAACTTAATTGTATAAGTGGAACTCAATTTAAGATATGTTTTTAAGAAATCCAAAAAGCGAAAACGTAATATATAATTATAATACATTAGGAAAAATGTTGTTGATTCAACTACCCACTAGTTAAGGGTTGTGTTTGTAGCAAGTAAAAGTTAATTGAAAAATATTATACAAAGCACAATTGAAAATAATATCTAACAAATTATGTATAGCAAAAATTTAAACAAATCAATGTGAAAATTAAAAAACATTAAAACTACAGACAAGAAGCATGTTAAACACAAAAATATAGAGTAAATTAAATATCACCAATGAGACACAGCTGAGTATTAAACTTAAAGTAAAAGGCAAATGCATGTAGTCGAAAAAGATGTTTTAAAATACGAATTACCGACACACGAATAAATAATGGATGTTGAAACAAAGATGGTTGCTGTTTAAATGCGTGGACTATAAAGAATTTCCATAACAAACTAATTTCCAAGAAAGGGGATTGCTCCATCTTCCCGGCATGTGCCAAAGTTGCCTGTCCTCCTGGCATGCTTTGATCAAATAAACAAACAAATGACAAATAGGGACAAATGTGCAGACAGGCGATTTGTCACTAGGTAATTTATGTACCCAGTTGAGCGTCTTCGTGTGGGCGAGTGAATTAACCCTCAACTGGGTCAACAACACCCGCAGGTCAGTGCATCAACAACTTCGAGGGATTGTGAGGTGTGTTCCAACGGGCTTCAATTAAAACGCTGGCATGCGAAAAGTTCGACGAGAAAGTTCATAACCGGATCGAACAGTTCAGAACAAGAAGGCAATACGAAGGCAAACTTTTATTTATCCCCCCCAAAAGTTATGCCTGTGCAAGGTATTCCAAATAACTTTGCCACTGGCAAAATGGTTTAAGGTCCTGCATAAATACTCAAGAATCTGGTAAAAGCATATAGTGAGCATTTTAATAAGTGAAGTGACGTGTATATTGTGTACCACTTACAGGCAATCCCTTTAAAGCCATATTTTAAGCCTTCAAACAGCACTTTACTTTATAATTCAAAAGCCAGAACTCATTGACAGCTATTTAAAGTTTAATTTGCATTAATGCTCGTGCTTGCGCATTTATTGCGCAATTATCAACTGAATGGCCCTTTGATTTTGATGATTACTGTTCGGCGTTCGTACTTAAAGCCCTGGTAAACCACAGCCACCATGGCGGCTTGATAATTTTACAAATTCTGCCAATGGGCAGCCATTGCGCAATTAAAATCATGATAAATCAAGGATCGAAGGAGTAGTTAATATTTGGGTCAACCGGTGATAAATTAGGCAGCTGGAAAATTCGATTACGTTGCTAATCGAATTATTTACCATAACACTGCCTAACGATTATGCAAAATATGAATTTAAGTATTTAAATTTAATAAGAGAAAATAACTTCAATTAATATTTTTTTGGCAATTTCGTCCTTAAGTCTTAAGGGCAATCCGATGCCGATTGTGGCCTGTCATACGCAAAATAAGATAGTTACATTTACCTGGCATCTTGTGGCGACTTACTGGAACCCATTTCAAACTGGCTTTTGAGGAAGCAAACTAATAAGCCGTCCGGTCCAGAGCACTTTATCAAGCCGGAGGCCCCTGTCAAGGCGTTCCTACCTGCCCTGCAATTTAATCGTTACGAATGTGCGGTCGTAAGTCATAGTCCTTCGACTCACTCCTACTCTGAAATCTAAAGGTTCCCAAGTAGCAGTATTGAGTAAAGTGACATTATTTGGTTACCCATTCCGACTTGAGCTTTGCTGAGATAAACAAAATAAAGATACATACATGGTGAAAAGCCAGCGAGCTATTTTTGGTTGAAGCTAACGTAATTATTTTGAATGTGGGAACACGTATAGTTAAGCAATGAATAAAAAAATAATATATAAGGTGCCCTGTAGTTATTACAAACTAATCAAATCAACATATTTGTGTGTACACATATAATACATAGTCAAAACAGTTACAATTGCAGTACAAGTGAAATATTTAGTACTAGAAATATAGTGGTAAAAAGCAAGTGAATTCCACAATCTCTGCTTTATAGACCTCCTTCAGCAACTTTTTTGTTAAAAATCCTCTTATCTACACCTGTGCCAGAATTTCAACTACATAAATTGTCATTATGTATTTGCGTTGGGAAATAAAAAAGCAGATCTGTTATTTGCTGTTCACTGGTTTCGCTGTACACGAGTCCGTGTTCAGGTCCTGGAAACTATTTGCTGGCCACTGGCAAGCAAAAGTTATTTGTTGTGGGGTTTCTTTTTCATTCTTTTTCACTGTAATAAAATTTTTGTGTGACATGAATTATATGGGACTAAACGGAGGAGGGAAGGGAAAAGTAACCAAAAGCAAAACGATAAAGCAAATGAGACGTCAGTCGAGAATAGTTTACAAATTGCAGTTTTATGGCAAACTGAGGATGATGGAACAGCAAACTAGCTAGGACAACTGTTAAATAGAGTTCTTGAAATGCTTGAGTAACATAGAGAAGACAGTCGAACTGAAAACTTTAATAAAGTGTAACCAGAAAGCAAATAAATTCAATTAAAATTGAGCGACATTGTGACACATGTAAGCAGGCACTTCAATCCTCGTCTAGGCAAGAGGCCCAAACCACTTTGCAACACATTCCGACCACGGAAAACAAAGGGAACATCCCGCAGAGGCCCGAAAGTTTCCTTTGTCAATGTGTCTGGCGGTTTTGAAAACTTTCGGCGTGAAATGTGTCACTCAAGAGCAGCAGCACAAAAACAACGGAGCCTGTGCCAAGTCAAACAGTCAAGTTCGGCGAGTTTCTTTTCGACAAAATAAAAACGACCAAAAATAGAGAATTTACTGGTTGTTTAATATGAAATTTTATGGTCGAATTATGAAATCAAAAATTAGCTTTTTCCTTAATTAAGTAAAGAATAAGCTCGCTTATGACCAAATCATTGAATGCTTTTGCTTAAATAAATTAAGATTACATTTCATATTGCTGAAACAACTATAACCAAATATTAAAATATAATTTATTATGTTTACATTTTCCTAATATTTCAAATTTACCAATTTGTTTTGTAGAAGTGGAACTATGTAATGCGCATTTTAGATTTATTTATACTTCTTATTATTCGACTTATTATTCTAATTGGGTAAACTTAGATTAAAATGTTGAAAACGTATTTTAAATATTTTATATT